CACGCCGGCGCTGAGGGGAATTTTCGGGACGGCGCCTGGCCGCCGCACCTGGCCTTGGGGCGAAGGCTCAGAACAGAAGCCAAAGCCAGAAGAACTGGCGGAAAAGCCGTTATGCAATAATACTGATTTCTCAGACAGGTAGTGGCCCGTGTTTCAGCGGCCCCTGCAGCACCCGGGGGCTTCGTGAGCTCCCCCACCACTCCGCAGGGCTCAGGCCCGCAAGGCGCAGGTTCCGGGGCCGGGGGTGGGCGGAGCCCTGCCCCGCGGAGGACCTGCTCCGGCCCCACAGCTGCTTGCAGGTCACGGGGAAATACCCTGGTTGGTCGGTCATCGGTTTTACGAGGTCTCCAGGGGGCGAGAGGTGGTCAGCTTGGGCTTAAACCCGGCTTCCACCCACCTGCTCTACTAAAACGCCTGCCTGCCTGCCTCAGTTTCCTCCCCTTTTACAGAAGCACTAAAAGGTGTTAAAATCAGCCTCTGGCTTCAGGTGTTCTTCTGGGCTGATGAGGCGCACCTGGAGTGCAGGGAGACGGCGTCTGGGCCTGGGTTCCGACCCCTTGTGACCAGCAGGTTCGGGGGTTAGGGGTCGGAGGTGCCCAGAGGGATGCTCGTAGGTCTCCATCTACTCCCTGGGGGTCTCAAGGGAGTTGGTGTGACTGGGGTTGGGGCCAGGCCTGCTTGGTAGGAGGCTGTCCCTCGGCTCTGGGCAGCTGGCGAGGGGGGCGGAGCGAGGACGGGGTGATGGAGGAGGCCGAGGTCCACCACGGGACATAGAAAGGCTGGCGTTGAACTGATTAGCCTCTTGACTTTTACAGCTCATTAGAGGCTGTATCTCAAATTAAAAGGCTTCTGAAATTCATCAAGAAGGACAAAGGCTTGGAATTACAGATACACCTTGAGGCAGCACAGTCACTGCATCAAAGTTCAGTTTTCCAGTGAGCACACGAATCTTCATGTTCTCACGCAAAAGGGCACACTATCTCTAGAGACCGGGGCACTGTGTGTCCCAGGGCCTGCGGCAGGGCGGGCGGTGCCTGGTCACACACCCTGGGCCTTGCAGAGCGGATAAAAACACGAAACAAACGCAGCAACAGAGTTTATAAATATATAACTATATTTATTTTGAATATTAAATAGTTTTTAAATTACAAGCAATTTATTGAATCACACTATGCATCAATATACAGTAAAAATCTTACAATTTAAAAATGTACACAATTTAAACTGAAAGTTCATTAGCGGTTATATTGCCGTGAACCTCTTACAACTGTGTTAAAGCCCGACAGGGAAGCCACGTGGGTGGACTGCCCCAAGGGGGTCCTCATCTGCGGCCGGAATTCAAGAGTGGATACACACACCGGCCCCTCAGGAAGGTCTGCGTGCGCCTGCGTGAGCCTGAGCAACTCCATGTTTTCAAGCCGTTCCGGTAACAGGTTGTTGGTAATTCAATACTGTCCACACGTTTCAGAACTTAGGTACCGGAGAGAAGTTTCTTTATTAACAGCCAACACTTGAGCCAACCCCGTTACTATTAGGAATGTTGTGCAGGAGACTGAAATGTGAAGTAACTGCGTTGCCCAATCTTATTTTAAGGCTCCTTCTCATAAGGCTACTATTCTGAAGCCCCCGTCACTGGAGCCCAACATTCGGAGCCCGACACTTGGGTTCACTCCCGGAGTTTTCAGATGATGGAGGGCTGGGTAGGGCAAAGCCGGGGGCTGCCTCCCTCGGGCCTCGGGCCCTCTGGACGGACATGCAGTTAAGTCACTAGCCCTCCAAGTACCCTACAGAAAAACTACTACAAGGGAGAGGTTCTGAAAGGTGTTTTTACGGCAGCAAGACATACGAAGACTTTTCTAAGATAAAACCCATTTCTATAGAAACAATCACCTGTACGTTTAAAAATAGAACGGATGCTGTTTTCAATTCAGCTTCGGGGAGCTCCTTCACGGTGAAGAGAAATGGCTTCTTACCCACACACACAGTCCAAGTTCCAGAAGGATTTGGGGAGCGCTTTTTTTTTTTTACATTTCTTTTTGTGGCTTATAATGGGATCATTGGATTAACACAAATGAACATTTAGCTAGGAAGGAAATGAAGGTGAGATTCTTTTTATTCTGGGATTTGAAATATGTAAACTCCACCAGAGTAACACTAACCAAAACCTGATAGACTCCAAAAGAGGCCAGGAAATGCCATTGTGGACCAGGCATTATAAACCTCAAACATATTATCTAGAGGATTCCACTGATTTATTTCATTGCATAACTTCTCAGGACCAGTTTGGTCTGAAAACCCACTACTGGTAACCAACATAGTTAAAAACACAAAAAAACAAAAACAGAAACAAAAACGGGAATTGAACAACAAAGCACATGCTGATGCTTCAAAGATGGGCTGAAATTTTTAATCTACATCATTAGTTTCCTGTGTATTGCTTGAGATTTCAAAAGAACATGTTAACTCACATGTGTATTATAAATATAAAATCTTCCCCGCCATGCACCAACCACCACAGTAAGATTTACTACTCAGACCCACCCCCCCAACTCAGTGTATAAAATGCTTTCTTTTGGCAATTAATCATGACAGCAATATAGACCTAAATTAAAACGGGAATTAGGTTGTTAAAATCTCCTTAATCATAGTGAAAAAGATACAGCCCCCAAATATCTATAAATTTATCCCGGGCTGATTGTATAAGAAGACTATATATTCTATGGATCTGCTTGATTTCGGTCATTAAATCTGAACTTCTTAGAGTTTGAAAAAACTTGTATAATCATCACCTCTCATTTCTCTCTCCACAAAGACTGGTAGTTAGATGTAAAAACTCAGGAATCTCAGGAAGTCTCCATAGCAAGAAATTCAGAGTTATGACAATTTGGCAAAATCACCTTCTAATGCCCTGTGATGGTTTCCCGTCTGCGTATCACAGGCCCAGCTCTCCTGGCCGCACTCCCTGCTCACACCGCCTGGAGGGTAAAGGGGGCTCTCTCTCCATTCTGAGTTCTTGCTCGGGAAAGTTATTGCTAGGTATGCAAAGTTAGTGGAGTGAGCCAGAATTGATAAGGTCATAATTTACTTCGTAAACTCCAGCCAGTACCCACAACTGCATCTCACGCCGGGACCAGAGCTGCTGGGACTTCTGTCACACAGCCCAGTGGACCTGTGTCACGCTGGAGTCAGGCAAGCGAATCAGCACCGGAAAACATTCGGGGTGACGGGCCAGCGTGTGGGGACCACAGCCCCGAAGTCAGACCCCCGATACACACGGTTTCGTGGCGAGCACGCCAAGCCTCCCTCAGCACGTGGCCCTCTAGCCCCTGGAAACTTCCTGGTGTCAAAGCGGGACTCACGGACCGCAGAGTGAGGCCAGCTTTTTATCCCGAACACCCGATTCCTGCCAACGCTGGGGGGCTGCGCTGGATACACTCGGTCCCTTCCCAGGCGAGGGCGAGAACGAGGTGCTTAACGTGGAAGGGAAGGGTCAGTGCAGAGGAGTCCCAGGGCCACGCCTGGGTGTGATGGCCATCCGGGGCCGCCCAGGGTCCCAACCGGGAGGACGGGCTGGCTGCGCGGGCTCCGCCACTGTCCCTCGTCCCTCCTCCCAGCTGCAGGATGTAGCGTTACCTCCTTGGTGACAGAGACCGGCCGAGCCTGGCCCTAAGCGGGGTGGTTCTTGAGGGGAAACCCAACTCTATGGGTTACTTAGAAGCTCACCACCTGACGTGTACAAATGCAATGAACTCAAACTGTCCTCGGCAACGAGAGCCCTGCAGGGACAGCTCTTGCTCAGAGCTCTGGACCGTCTACGAGGACACGGAAGCCACGGCAGCAGCCCGCGGTTCCACACAATAAGGAGAAGAACCGGCTTTGAGGAGAGGCGCAGGGGCCACAGCAGAGCGCACACGGGGGGCGGGCACTCGGCTCCCCAGGGAAGGGGGCAGGAGACCCAGCCCTTAACCCGCAGCTGAGCCCTGGGGTGAACCGCCTGTCGAGTGTTACCGAAAGGGTTTACAAAACTGGGGAGCCAGGGGTGGTGGGCGGTGGGAGAACCACGAGGAGGGCTGCAAACCCCTCACCTCCTCAGGGAAGCCTCACTTGCTACAAGGAACCTGCGTTATAGAAAGAGACAAACGTGTGTTTCATTCGGTCAACAAAACAAAGCAGTCTTTTTGGACTCATCAAAAATATTTCCTATAAGAACAAAAAAACACTAACATTCGGAATCATTTATCATTTACAAAAAAGTACCATATGTACAATTCCAACAATTCTAGACAGCAGAACACTCAAAATATTTAAGCTTTACAAGTACCATGCAGAGCAAACAAACTATAAAACAGAGAAAAAAATCAAACTAGTGGATAGCACCAGCTTGACCTGCCTTATTTTCCTTGAATAATTTAAGATTCTGTACAATATCAGGTACTCTTAGAACATTTATCCACAGTGCAATTACAGAAAGCAATTAGTGATTTCTTTAAAAATAATAAATATGGCTCACTGGTGCCCGTTCCCATCGTGCTCCTCCGGGCCCCCGTGCACAGAAGGGGTGTGCAGGTGTGGACGTGGAGAACACCCACCGCCCCCCCCTCCCCCGCCGGGAAACCGGAAACAGCCCAGAACCTACAGTTCCCACACACCGGAGCAGGGTCGGCGCTCCCCAAGGATGACCGGGGCGCGAGCGCTTCTGGTGGGTGAGAGCGGCCGCAGGGCCCCCCCCTGGCCAGGCTTCCCGCCGTGGGCACGGGGCCAGCGCGGCTCCCTCTGGGCCTCCCCAGTCTCTCTCCTGGCCGGACGCCGTCGAGGGGAGGTCACTGCTGGGCTGCGGCGCAGGAATGCTGCCCGGCGGGGGGAGCAGCCTGGGACCCGAGAGCACCTCGGGATCCACCTAATCCTTTTCTCCATCTTCGCTGCTTCCTGTTTAGGAGAGAACGAGCAAAGGTGGGTTTATGCCGTGATCGTCCTGGATGCAAACAGTCCGGACGGCATCTGACCTGTGCTACAGAAACAGGAACTGAAGCCGGGAGCGCGGCCACCCACCACCTGTCCAGCCGCGTGTTTTCTTCCTGTGACAGCGGCACCTGCCAGACCCTCGCACACTCTCGCACACACACCTGCTCCGCTCACACGCAGCTCGGTGTCAACGCTCAGGGTGGGAGAAAATCGCTCTGATCTCTGACAGATCGCTAGGGAATGGGCGTGATCTAACCGGCACAATTAAACAGAGCCCAAACACGAACACAAGCTCTTCATGGTTCGTGGCTGTTATCCGAACTTCGAACTTCAAATCTAAAAAAATGCACCTGTTGACATTCATCTCCCAATCTAGTTATGGGGAAAAAAGGATCCGTATGTCCAGATAACACCACTGCAAATGGGCCCTGCCCATGACCTCCCACCCAGGCCCCTGCTATCGCACAAGACCGAGGCTTAATGGTAAAGTCAATACTCCCGGGGGAGAACCAGAGCACATCTGGGCTCAATCCCAAAATCCTGGGCCAAGTGTTCTGAACAGAGTAAGCTTTCTGAAGAATGGCTTCCCTCTGGGGAAGGAGGCGGGAAGGCGGGGTTGTGGCCAAAAGGGGAAAAGAGAAGAAAAGAAGGTGGCAGACACCCTGGGCAAGTTTGGGGACCTGCAGCCAGGC